TAATCAGAGTAGAAGTAAAGAGCAAACAGACATTCAAAAAGTTATAGAATAAAAGAAATAACTAAGATCAGAGCAGAACTTGAAGTAGAGATAGAAACACAAAAACGCCTCCTAAAAATTGGAAGAACTGGTGGAGCTGGTCTGGGTAACAAAGCAAACGCAACAAAATTGACAGATCATGTGCAAGACTAGCAACATAGATAATCAAGAGACGTAACAAAAACATAAAGGTATATCAAACACCGACCCCACGTGAAACACAAACTACCATCAGAGAATACTATAAACACTCTACGCAAATAGTCCAGAAATTCAGAAGAAATGGACAATTTCTGGATACCTCTATATCTTCCAAGACTAAACCATGGAAGAAGGTGAATCCTTGAACAGCACCAACAGCAGAATCTGAAATTGGAGGCAATAATTACAGTCAATGTAACCAAAAAAAGTCTACAGGACTGATGGATTCACAGCTGAATTCTACCAGAGGTAAGAAGGAGGAGCTGGAGGCTGCTCCTTCTGAAACTATTCCAATCAATAGGAAAAGAGGGAATCTTCTCAACTCATTTTATGAGGCCAACATCATCCCATACCAAGCCTGGGCAGAGACACACAAAGAGAATTTTAGACTAATATCTCACGATGAACATTGATGCAAAATCCTCAACAAAATACTGGGTAAAAACGGGATTCATGGCAGCTCATCAAAAAGCTTATCCACCATGATCAAGTGGGCTTCATCCCTGGGATGCAAGGCTGGTTCTTAACATTCAATCAATAAACATAATACATATAAACAGAATCCAAAGACAAGAACTACATGATTATCTCAATAGATGCAGAAAAGGCTTTTGACAAAATTCAACAGCCCTTTTCACATGCTGAAAACGCTCAATAAATCTGGCATTAGCTGAATGTACCTCAAAAGAATAAGAGCGCCATTTATGATAAACCCACAGCCAATATCATAATGAATGGGCAAAAATTGGAAAATTCCCTTTGAAAACTGTTACAGACAGGATTCTCTTCTCTCACTAATCTTATTCCACATAGTGTTGGGGTTCTATAGCAATCAGGCAAGAGAAAGAAATCAAGGGGATCGAGTTAGAAAAAGAAGAAAGCCAAATGTCTCTGTTTGCAGATGACATGATTATATATTTAGAAAACCCCATTGTCTCAGCCCAATCTCTTCAGCTTATAAGCACCAGAAAGTCTCAGGATACAAAATTAATGTGCAAAAATCAGCAAAAGCATTCTTAGCACCAGTAATGACAAACAGAGAGCCAACCATGAATGAACTTCCATTCACAATTGCTTCAAAGAGAATAAAAATACCTAGGAATCCAACTTACAAGTGGATGTGCTTATCTTCAAGGAGAACTACAAACCAATGCTCAAAAGAAATCAAAGAGGACATAAATAAATGGAAGAACATACCATGCTCATGGATAGAAGAATTACTATCATGAAATGGCCATAGTGCTCAAGGTTATTTATGATTCAATGCCATCCCCATCAAGCACAATGAGTTTCTTCACAGAATTGGAAAAAACTGCTTTTAAAGTTCATATGGGTCCAAAGATTTCACCCCAAGACAATCCTAAGCCAAAAGAACAAAGCTGGAGGCATCACACTACCTGACTTCAAACAATACTACAAGGCTATAATTCAAAACAGCATGGTACTTTGGTACCAAAACAGAGATATAGACCAATGGAACAGAACAGAGTCTCAGAAATAATACCACATCCATGTTTGGTCTGATCTTTGACAAACCTGAGAGAAACAAGAAATGGGGAAAGGATTCCCCTTTAATAGCTTTTGTGGGTTGGGAAAATTGGCTAGCCATAAGTAGAAAAGCTGAAACTGACCTTTCTCTTACCTCTATGAAAATTGACCTGTGATGGGATTAGATCAAATGTTAGACTCTAATACAAAATCTTAGAAAAACTTGTGGTAGTACCATTCAGACATAGGCATGGGCAAAGACTTCATGTCTAAAACACCAAAAGCAATGGCAACAAAAGCCAGAATTCACAAATGGGATCTAATTAAACTAAAGAGCTTCTGCACAGCAAAAGAAACTACCATCAGAGTGAACAGGTAACCTTCAGAATGGGAGAAAAATTTTGCACCCACTCATCTGAAAGGGCTAATTATCCAGAACTCACAAAGAACTTCAAATAAATTACAAGAAAAACAAACAACCCCACCAAAGGGGCAAAGGAGCAGGAATGACATTTCCCAAAAAGAAGACATTCATATGGCGCCAACAGACACATGAAAAATGCTCATCATCACTGGCCATCAGAGAAATGCAAATCAAAACCACAAATGAGATACCGATTCAAGACCTGTGCTAGAATGTATAATCTCGCTAAAAAGTCAGGAAACAACAGGTGCTGGAGAGGCTGTGGGAGAATAGGAACACTTATAATTGTTGTGGGATTGAACTAGTTCAACCATTATGGAAACAGTATGGCGATTCCTCAAAGATCTAGAACTAGATGTACCATATGACTCCAGCTATCCCATTACTGGGTATATACCTAAAGGATTCCAAATCATGCTGCTATAAGACACACATGACATGTATGTTTATTGTGGCACTATTCACAATAATAAAGACTTGAAATCAACCCAAATGTCCATCAGTGACAGACTAGATTAAGAAAATGTGGCATATATACACCATGGAATACTGCCATGCAGCCATAGTGCATGGCAGACATGTCAGTCTTTAGGGACATGGATGCAGCTGGAAACCATCATTCCCCAGCAACCATCACAAGAACAGAAATCAAATACCGCATGTTCTCACCATAGGGTGGGAACCCTGAACAATGAGATCACTTGACTCGGAAGGGGAAACATCACACACCGGGCCTATCATGGGAGGGGGAGGAGGGAGGGATTGCATTGGGAGTTATACCTGATGTAAATGACGAGTTGACGGGTGCTGACGAGTTGATGGGTGCAGCACACCAACATGGCACAAGTATACATATGTAACAAACCTGCACGTTATGTACATGTACCCTAGAACTTAAAGTATAATAATAATAATAATAAATGCATAAAAATTTCTAGTGAGAGAAAACAGATCAGAAATTGCTTGCATGTATGGGGTAGAGGGGTGGAAGCAGGGAAAGAGAAGTTACAAATGATCATAATGGTAACTTTTGACTTATAGCCATCTTCATTGTTTTCCTTGTGGTGATGGTTTCATAGGTGTATACATGATGTCAAAAGTCATCAAATTGTACAACTTAAGTAAATGTTATTTATTTTATGTAGGTTATATCTCAGGAAAGCTATCTTTAAAATATCTCACATTTGAGAAAAAAAAAATTAATGGTTAGCAGCCTGACATCATTCTTACATTTCGTAGAGATTATCACCTGTACGCGTTTCTATTCACACTGAATTTTTGCCAATGTTCAATGTATTCAGATTTTCTTACTTATATCTGACTCCTAGAAGCATCAAATCAATGTTTCTTGCCCTAAATTTTCACAGATGCACCTGTTGGAACTTATATTTGCAGCACTTTTTAATTTGACCTCCAGAATCTCATGAATACACTTGTTTACTATTTATACAGTGTACTATATATTTATATATATATATATTCAGATAAATATAAGCTCCACCTCAGCTCCAGAAACATCCAATTTTTAAGTGTTGAAAGTTTTTCCATGTGCCAGTTGATAGATTCCATCTTTATTAAGCATATTTTCATTCTAGTATAACTCTGTACTCTGATGTGGCTTCTGAATTTAAAAAGAAAACAACAATAGAAAATCCAAAATAGAAACAAAAAGACCTAATTTAGAAAACCAAGTTTAACTGGATTTAAGTATCTCAGAAAACATAAAATGGAGGACTCGTACATTGCAAAAAAAAAAAAAAAAAAAAAAACCCTCATTCTACATAGTCTAGAATAACATTTTCAACCTCAAATTTGGCACATACAAGAAAGAGTGTTCTTGCAATAATTTTTATGAAATTCTCAAAAACTTACTTAAAATATCATATCCTCTTGATTACTGAGGTAATGAAGAATGTGACAAAAATCTAACAATGATAGGACATCAAAGCTTAATGAGGTTTGAAATCATTAACCTAGAGTTCTCACTAAATAGAGAAATACACTGACAAAATTTTAAAATTTTCTGATAAAATTATCTCAACATTTCAGCACATTGCGATTAATTTGTAGCTAGAGAAAATATTTTCCCAACATTGTTACAACCATGGAAAACTAGATGCCCTTTAATAACAGACATCTTAGAATATGTATTGTTAAGGCTTGATGCTCTTTAAAAAGTTCAACAGCTTTTACTACAGTAATTTGATTTTATTCTAAGTTGTTCTTCATTACCAGTTCATAGAGCAAAAAGCATAAGCCAAACTTCCAAAGGACTCATCACATTCTCAGTTGAAATCAAATTAAAAACTAAACACATGAATGTGCTCTCAAGGTCATCTAAGTATATTTTTCTTTATACTTGCACACCTTTTTCAGTACTTTATCTATGACCATCTTCATTTTATTGAACTGAAGATTTTTACAAAGGAAGTAAGTCTTTCTATCCAGACATTGAAATGTAAAATGTGTAAGAAGATAAAGAAGAACATTTAGGCTAAAACCAGGAAAGTAATGCTTGTCTCAGAAGGAATTGAATGAAAAGAAAATAAGAGATACGATTAATTATAATAAGGAGAAAGAGAACATCACATAACTTTGGATGTGTGACTAAGACTCAAGGAATTTAAAGTAGATGACAGATCTGCAGAAAAGACACTGGTTTTTCCACTAGAAACTATATTGACTCATAATGGGAAGGCAAAGACAAGAAAAGATGACTGCAGAGTAAACTTTACCCGTGTCAATAAGTTTACCGTAGGAAGGATATTTTAAGTAATTCTTTTCAATTATAAAATTACTTTCAAAATAGGTATTTTATGCACCATCAATTTGAATGAAAGTAACATAAGTAATTTTTTATTGCTACAGTTTTTATTGTTCATTTTCCAACCTGTACTCCAACTCTTGGGGTTCACTTTAATTTGCCTTATTGACAAAGCTACTTCCAGCTGCCCACTCTTTTCTAACGTATGTTCTTCCAAAACCACGTAGCTTCTGATTGCTAGCTTAGGTACGACCTGACTACAGTTCAGGAGGACGATTTTTTAATTGTATATGAAACACACCTTCTATTTCAAGAGTGGGAGTCTGTCCATCATTAGTATTAGACAAATCTTTAGATCCATCATTGGTATTAGACAGAAATTTTTTTGAAACGTCTTCAAATTTTGCTTCACCTTCCAAAACAACCGATCCTAATTTTATTGCTGGAATTCCTGCCACCTGCGGTGACTGAAATTCAGTAGACACATGCTCTACCAGAGCCTCATCTTCAGGGGTTTGTTCAGATGGTGGAGGTGCAACTTCAGCAGAGGCCTCTTGTATAGCAAACTCGTCAGTCAGAAGCAAATCAGCTGGTGGGGAATGTTTGTCAACAGGGGCCTCTTCCGCAGGGACCTCATAAGCTGGGGGAGAGTGTACTGCAACAAGGGTCTCTTCTATAGGAGTCTCCTCAGCTGGTAGAGACTGAACATCAGCAGTGGCCTCCTCAACTGGTGGAGGCTGAACTTCAGCAGGGGCCTCCTCAGCTTGTGGAGACTGAACTTCAGCAGGGGCCTCCTCGGCTGGTGGAGGCTGAACTTCAGCAGGGCTGAACTTGCAGCAGGCCTCTCGGCTGGTGGAGGCTGAATCCTGCAGCCTCCCTCGGCTGGTGGAGGCTGAACTTCAGCAGGGCCTCTCGATTGGTGGAGGCTGAACTTCAGCAGGGACTCTCGATTGGGAGACTGAATCAGCAGGACTCTCGGCTGGTGGAGGCTGAACTTCAGCAGGGACTCTCGGCTGTGGAGGCTGAACTTCAGCAGGGGACTCTCGGTTGGTGGAGGCTGAACTTCAGCAGGAGACTCTCGGCTGGTGGAGGCTGAACTTCAGCAGGGGCCTCCTCGGCTGGTGGAGGCTGAACTTCAGCAGGGGCCTCGTCAGCTGGTGGAGGCTGAACTTCAGCAGGAGACTCCTCGGCTGGTGGAGGCCGAACTTCAGCAGGAGCCTCTTCTGCAGAAGCCTCTGTAGCTGCTAGAAGCTGAATTTCAGCAGAGGCCTCTTCTGCAGGGGTCTCTTCACCTGATGGAGGCTGAAGCTCAAGAGGGGCCTCTTCTATAGAAACTCCCTTAGCTGATGGAAATTGAACTTCAGTAGGCGCCTCTTCTGCAGAAGTCTCCTCAGATAGTGGAGATCGAGTTTCAGCAGGAATTTCATATGCAGGAGCCAATGTAGCTGCTAGAAGCTGAATTTCAGCAGAAGCCTCTTCTGCAGGGGTCTCCATAGCTGTTGAAAGCTGAAGTTCTCCAGCCTCTTCTCTGGGAGCCTCTTCAGGTAATAGAGGTTGAACTTCAGCAAGGGTCTCTTCAACAGTGGCAGGCTCTGCTTTAGCTGGGGCCTCTTCAAGGGTGCCCTCAGCTGGTAAAGGCTGTACTTCAATGGGAGCCTTTTCAGCTGAGGGAGACTGAATTTCACCAGGAAGCTCTACTGAAGGAGACTTTTCAGCTGATGGAGGCAGAATTTCAGTAGGAGGCTCTTCTGAAGGGGACTCTTCTGCTGATGGAGGCAGAATTTCAGCAGGAAACTCCACTAATGGGGCCTCTTCAGCAGGTGGAGGCTGAACTTTAACAGAATTCTCTGCAACTGCAGTGGCTGCCTCAGCAGCAGGAGTCTCTTCAGTTGATGGCTGTACTTGGACATGGGTCTCTTCATCGGGTCTGGGCTCTGCCTTAGCAGTGGCCTCTTCAACTAATGGAGGCTGTATTTCAGCTGGGAATTTTTCTGTTGGTGGAGGCTCTATTTCAGCAGAAGCCACTTTTTTAACAGCAAAACCTTCTTGTATAACAGGTGTAGTTACTTCTTCCCTAAGCCCATCTTCTAAAAGTATCGGAGGACCATTTTTAGTCTCCTGAGTAAATGAAGTTCTGCTGATACTTTTCTGCTTAATTTCTTCATTGCTGCTTGTTGCTGGTTGAAATTCAGGGTGTTCACTAGCAGAAATCTTTCCTGAGGATTTACGTTTCCGGGCACCTTCCTTTGACTTCATAAAAGAACTATCTGGCCTGGAAATAGCCACTATTTCTGATTCACTAAAGTATGTCTGTTGTTCCTTGTCCACTTTTTCCACATGGGGGATGTGCATCATGGTCCAGTATTCTGTACGGCTGGTCTGCTGAGATCTGTCCATTTTTAGTTGAACTAAAGGTATGCATGGTGGAATTTCTACTTCCTGAACACTCTCTGGCAATTCAATAGCTGCTTCTCTAACGTCAGCTGACTTTTCTTCAGGTACCACGGTTTTCTCAACTAACTTGACTTCTTTTTTCTCTTCTACAATGGTGTCTGTCTGGAGAGACTTACTAGTCATTTCCTGTCCACGCTTTCTCTTTGTCCAAGTTTGTTGAAGTTCAGAAGATACTCTAATAGACTCATAGGCTTTGGCAGAGTAGTTGCCTTTGCTTCCAGAAGTATTACCAATATGATGGGTAGCTTTGGGGCTAGATGATTTTGGTATGGCCATGTGTTTCTTTTTCTCTATTACATCAGTTTGCTGGGATTTGTCTACCATTGGTTGGCTGGGTCGTCTTCTCTTTCGAATTTCTTGCCTACATTCTGAGATAGGCTTATCAGAGTCATCACTTTCTTCCATTTCTAAGACTAGTGATTTCAAATTTATTAATTTTCAAGTGATGGCCAAAAATCACAAACGTACCAAGTGTCGAAGACTTTGCCTTTCTTAGGTGTCATTCTGTTGAGCTCCCTCAGAAAAAAAGGAATTCATAAGTTATTACATTCCATACTACACTCTTGTTGGATCCCACCTTATTCAGTAAGCATCTTTCTTGTTTAGTCTCTGTTATAACTAAATATCACTTTTAGAAGTTTCCTTCAAGGGTCTATGACATCATAGCCAATTCTGCCTTCAGGATTCCATCAGTGGTATTCCTGGGCTTTTAAACTTAGTATACATTCATAGGTAATAGCTGCAAGTGAGAATCTACTTTTTGAAACAAGTCAAGTTAAAAAAAGCATTTGTCTACAAAAGAACATCAGGTAAATTCCAGTAATGCCACTTTCTAATTGCTGAAATTGATGCTTTCGAACTTTCAGTTCTGTTCTTTTCATCCTATTATCAAAGACAGTAATGCAGAACTCAGAATGCTGCAGCCTATTTTCAACTGTACAAAACAACCCATAACATGTGTTAGGATGTTCTATCAATGTATTTTATACGACTTGAAAAGAAGTTACTACTGTTTGAAAAACTTGAATTCTGAAGTTCATCTTCATATAAGTTTCTTTTCTACATCCTTAGCCTTCAGTAACACAACAGCCTATTCTCAAAATATAGAAGGTAGGTTTATCTTCCAAAACATCGTGTGATATTTTAATTTTTATTTAACTATTTTAGAGTGTAGTTCCACCCAAAATTGCCAACTAAAAGAATGAGTCTAAATACACGCCAAGGGAGAAAAAAATGCACCTTTTGAAGTAGTCACATTAGACTCTGCTGAGTACCCACATGGGAATGAATGCCCCAATGTAGATAAAAACTTATTTTTATTTTTGTTTTGTTTTTTGAGATAGGATCTCACTCTGTCACCCAGGCTGGAGTGCAGTGGTGCAATCATACCTCACTGCAGCCTCAATCTTCTGGGCTTAAGCAATACTCCTACCCCAGCCCCCTCAGTAGCTGAGATTACAGGCATGAGCCACTGCACCAGCTGAAGATAAAAACATTAAAAAATGAAGCTATGAAAAGGAGGAACTCCAGTCAAGCAGATTGTAGATGACATTGTATTAGATTTGGAATACAGATACAATTTTAACTGATATCACTCAAGAATTTTACTAGAAAGATGAATATTGATCAAACAGTATGCAAAAACATTGTTTATTAGTCTGAGGAAAATTAAGAAGAGAAAACAGACTTTTAAAATACAGTTATAGGAGACAATTTGCCAAATAATAATTATGACTGCATTAATCTGGGAATATTTTTAAATTTATTTATGCCATATTGCCCCTAGAAAACATGGTGAATTGAATAATTCCCCTTTTTTCACATGCATTGGTATTATGAGCTGAATGTTTGTGGCCCTGTCTCTTTACCCACAAATTCATATGTTGGAACCCCAAAAGTTATGGTATTTAAAGATGGGATCTTCGGGAGTTACAGGTACACTTCATTTTATTACACTTCACTTTTTTGTGTTTTACAGATCCTGCACTTTTTACAAATTGAAAGTCTGTGGCAAGCCTGCATCAAGAAAATCCATTGATGCCATTTTTTCAAACAGTATGTGCTCATTTCATTTCTTTGTGTCACATTTTGGTAATCCCTGCAACATTTCAAACTTTTTCATTATTATAATATCTGCTGTGGTGATCTATGATCAGTGATCTTGATGTTACTACTGTAAATATTTGCAGCACCATACCCTATATATAACAAATTTAATAGAAAAACATTGTGTGTGTTCTGACTAATCCACCAGCCAGCTGTTCCCCCATCTCTCTCTCTCTCTCTCTGTCCTCAGGCCTTTCTATTGGTTGAGACACAACAATATTGAAATTAGGAAAATTGATAGCCCTACCATGGCCTCTAAGTGTTCAAGTGAAAAGAAGAGTCACAGACTTCTCATTTGAAATTCATGTTGTTTTCATGTCTGCTAACACAACATCCATTCTGTAGCCCATGGATCAAGGAGTAATTTTGATTTTCAATTTTATTATTTAAATATATTTCATAATGCTATGGCTGCCATAGTGATTCCATTAATGGATGTGAAATTGAAAGTAAATTTAAACCCTCTGGAAAGGATTTACCATTTTAGATGCCATTAAGAATCTTTATTAAGAATGGTAATAGGTCTAAATATCAACATTAACAGGAGTCTGGAAGAAGTTGATTCCAACCCTCACAGATGACTTTGAGGGGTTCAAGATTTCAGTGGAGAGAGTAACTGCAGATGTGGTGGAAATAGCAAGAAAATGTAAATTATATGTAGAGCCTGAAGACATGACTGAATTGCTGCAATCTAATGGTAAAACTTTAATGGACAAAGGGCTGCTTCTTATGGATGAGCAAAGAAAGTCGTTTCTTGAGATGGAATCTACTCCTAGTGAGGTGCTGTGAACACTGTTGCAAAAACAACAAAGGATTTAGAATATTCCATAAACTTCACTGATAAAGCGATGGTAGGGTTTGAGAGGATTGATTCCGATTTTGAAAAAAAAGTTTTGATGCTGTAAAATAGTACTGCATGCTACAGAGAAACATTTCATAAAAGGGTCAATTGATGGGGTAATCCATTGGGTTGTTTATCAACATCTTTGTGGTTGCAAAGAGAGAGCCTGGTGTTTGTCTCAATTATATCTGACAAACATTGCAGGTGTGTTTTGTAGTCAAGTTTCTGAAATTTCATGTAATATCTTCAAAATCTATTTTGGGTCAATTCACAACAAGAAATAATTGTCAAAGCCAATATTGCACTAATTGAGTTAATATAAGATGATGTGTATTGGATTAGTTTTGCTTCTTTAACTTAAATAAGGCTTTCCCAAATTTCCTTAAACTGAATTATCGATTTCAACTAAATTGAATTCTCAATTTCCAGTCCTTAGATCTTTATGTTTTCCTCTCTTGTCTGTCTTTTTCATACAAGCCATTTTGACAGCGGGGAGATGACATCTCATCGTGGTTTTGATTTGCATTTCTCTGATTAGTGATGTTGAGTATTTTTTCATATCACTGTTGACCATTTGCATGCCATCTTTTAAGAAATGTCTACTCAGATATTTTGCCTATTTTTGTATAAATTTATGTGGTACAGTATAATTTTGTTACATAGATATATTACATGTGGTGGAGTCAGAGATTTTAGTATGACTATTACCTGAATAAAATAAATTGTACCCATTAGGTAATTTATTATCATCCCCCACTTCCATCTCTCACACTTCTGAGTCTCCATTGTTGTATCAGTTGACACTCTGCATCCATGTGGATGCTTTATTTAGCTCCCACTTATAAGTGAGAAGATGCATTGTCTTTCTGTTTCTGAGTTGTTTCTCTTAAAATAATGGCCTCCAGTTCCATTCATGTTGCAGCAAAAGACATGATTTTATTTTTTTTTAAATTTTCTACCAGGTTAAGCTTTATTCATTTTTTATTTTTAATTATACTTTAAGTTCTAGGGTACACGTGCACAACGTGCAAGTTTGTTACATAGGCATACATGTGCCATGTTGCTTTGCTGCACCCATTAACTCATCATTTACATTAGGTATTTCTCCTGTTATCCCTCCCCCTTTTCCACACCCCATGACAGGCCCTGGGGTGGGATGTTCCCGCACTGTGTCCAAGTGTTCTCATTGTTCAATGCCCACCTATGAGTGAGAACATGTGGTCTTTGCTTTTCTGTCCTTGTAATAGTTTGCTCAAAATGATGATTTCCAGCTTCATCCATATCCCTGAAAGGACATGAACTCATCCTTTTTTATGACTGCATAGTATTCTGTGGTGTATATGTGCCACATTTTCTTAATCCAGTCTATCACTGACAGACATTTGGGTTGGTTCCAAGTCTTTGTTATTGTGAATAGTGCCAAAATAAACATATGTGTGCATGTGTCTTTATAGTAGCATGATTTATGACCCTTTGGGTATCTACCCAGTAGTGGGATTGCTGGATCAAATGATATTTCTAGTTCTAGATCCTTGAGGAATCGCCACACTGTCTTCCACAATGGTTGAACTAGTTTACACTCCTACCAACAGTGTAAAAGCATTGCTATTTCTCCATATCCTGTCCAGCATCTGTTGTTTCCTGACTTTTTAATGATCGCCATTCTAACTAGTGTGAGATGGTATCTCACTGTGGTTTTGATTTGCATTTCTCTGATGACCAGTGATGATGAGCATTTTTTCATGTGTCTATTAGCTGCATAAATGTCTTCTTTTGAGAAGTGTCTGTTCATATCCTTTGCCCACTATTTGATGGGGTTGTTTTCTTCTCATAAATTTGTTTAAGTTCTTTGTAGATTCTGGATATTAGCCCTTTGTCAGATGAGTAGATTGAAAAAATTTTCTCCCATTCTGTAGGTGCCTGTTCACTCCGATGGTAGTTTCTTTTGCTGTGCAGAAGCTCATTAGTTTAGTTAGATCCCATTTGTCTATTTTGACTTTTGTTGCCATTGCTTTTGGTGTTTTAGTCATGAAGTCTTTGCCCATGCCTCTGTCGTGAATGGTATTGCCTAGGTTTTCTTCTAGGGTTTTTATGGTTTTAGGTCTAACATTTAAGTGTTTAATCCATCTTGAATTAATTTTTGTATAAGATGTAAGGAAGGGATCCAGTTTCTGTTTTCTACATATGGCTAGCCAGTTTTCCCAGCACCATTTATTAACTAGGAAATCCTTTCCCCATATCTTGTTTTTGTCAGGTTTGTCAAAGATGAGATGGTTGTAGATGTGTGGTGTTATTTCTGAGGCCTCCGTTCTGCTGCATTGGTATATACACACACACACACACACACACACACACACACACATATGTTTTGGTACCA